TGTGATTTCTCTATGACGTGAGGTACATGCCTGTAAATTTTCAAGTCATTTGGCTAAGCCCAATAAGAATTAAAAATCGCCAAAGATGGCGGTGTCAAAACGTGCTCGCCCACGTATTTTTTCATTTCTTACTTTTTGTTTTCACTTTATTTCGGGGTCTAAACAATTTTATTATTTTTTGAAACTTTTTTAGTGGGTTTTGTTTTATGTGAAGTACACATCCGTAAATTTTCGGGGCATTTAGATATTCCAAAAAAAAATGAAAAATCGCCAAAGACGGCAGTGTCGAAAATGTGCTCGCGCACTCGCTACATTTAATTCTTTTTTTATTTGTTTTTATTTTTATTATTAGTATTTGCAAGGAACATGAGAATGCAAAATCACACTGAAGTCCAAGTAGTCAAAGCCAAAGCAGATAGCACAATGGAACCGAGTAACCATCCAATTGAGAATGATACAGAAGAATCGTGAGTCAATGTCCATGCCCAACAGGGCAACACCAACAGCATAACCCAATGTAGCTCTCTCTTATGAATGGCGCCAGGCGCCCTAGCTACTCTACAGACTAAGCCTACAACTACAGCAATGAAAGCAACCAGAGAACTTGACTACCATTGAGTGATGATGTCAACAGCAATGCCGACCTCCACCTCCACCAGGTACGTGTCCTCTTCACCCACACTCTCCCTTGTTACCCACACAGCGCCCTTCACCTCCGAAGAACCACACCTTCACCCTCACCTCCCCTGCGCCCTATGCAGCCCAGCTATTGCCGCCAAGCGCCCAGTACACAGGCAGCGCCCTACCGCCTAGTGCTAGCCTGCCTCATCCCAGCGCAGCGCAGCGTGCCCACAATGCCTGCATTGGCCAAGATCCCTGCCCACTCGCCCTGCTTGCCTATATGCCAGTGTTGCGTGTGGGCGGCCTCCCTTCAGCCTGCGACGGGCCTCAGTGCATGAGCCCAGGCCCAATCCAGTTGAGGCCCAGGATACAGTTGCGCCTCTTTCATCAAGGCCTGCGGCCAGAYTCAGATAGTGGGCCGATTTCCCACTGGCATTTTCGGCCTCTATACCCAGCATGCATTGTCGGCCTCTCGTTCAAGTGCCCAGGGCCTAAGCAACTCACAGGCCCTGGGATTTCCGCATTTGCAGAGATCCGAGACTCGGTGCACCCCAACCAACTGGAGTGCTGCAACTGTATGGACCCCACTTCGTGAAATGTTTGCACAGAGGGCTCTTGTTGATTTGTTGGCCCGCCTTCACTTAGGGCGGGCACGAGGCTTGCTGGGGCCTTAGCCCAGAACATGTACATCATGGCAAGGCCCGTTCTTGAGGGCTCAATGCTCACATATTTGTTTTTCGTATTTTATTTTTATTTCAAATTTGGTAAGGAATTTGGATGTAATGCTCAGGCAAATCTTGTTTAATTGTTTTTTATTCATAACATATCTTTTTTTCAGATTTTTTTGATTTTTTTTTTTATTATTATTATTTTTTTTAATTTTTTTTTTTGGGTCCGCGTTCGGCCGTTCCCCAAGGGGTCCCGTACGTTCGGCCCATCCCGAATGCCGGTTACCCTATATATATATGACGATATATATATCTATATGAAACTCCGACGAAACAGTTTGTCACAGCCCCTCGTTTGTTGTCCTCTTCTCTCTCTCTGCCTACGGTTTACCGGGCAGTTCTGTTTGTGACGATATATATATATATATAGAGAGAGAGAGAGTTTTCCATCTGGTGTGGGTGAGTGATAGTCTACTTTGATTTTGGTTAAGGTAGATTATCATTTACAGTGTAAACAGTGAGGGGATTCTGCAGACTGTTGAGGGTTCAGC